ATAATTTAATTAGTTAAAATCATCTCTTCCTCTCATTCCCCTTAGTTTTTTTCAAACCAAATATACTCTTAATATTCCTTATTTTCTAAGATTAATTTTACAGTACTTTTTTTCTGTAGCAACAACCAGAGAACCACCCGATAATTCTAAACAAATTCAATATCTCAGATCTTTTACTTTAACAAAACCCTTCAAAAGTAATTATTTGTCACCATTTCCCAATTTAATTTGCAACAATTTCTTGTACAATGGCCAAAAAAAGAGCAAAATTAATATACACAATTAATTACACAAATCACACAAATTAACTATTTGTTACCTGATTTAATTACACAAAACTAATCCTAAATAGCAACTGAGCAATACCCATTCAAAACTTATTTTCATCACTCACATATTTTCATGTAAATTCATGATTTTAATCACCCCAGTGTACATATGACCTGTTTATTTTTTATTTTTTTATTAAGGTAAGTGGTTTCGGGAGAGGAGGATGGGAGGAGATCAAACTCTTATCATAGTAAAAAAAGCTTACACTAAGCTGCTGGCCACTAGGCTGGCAGGCCTTCTTCAGGAAGAAACCATGTACATATGACTTGTTGAAAATATCAAAAGCATGCTAAAAGTCTTAAAAGACATATAGTTATGTAGCAGATCTAAGATTTTAGAATAATATATAGCAAGAGAGAAATGTGATTTACCTAAATAAGACTGGCAAGTTGCGACCACAATCCAATCCCTTACTCTATCTTGCTCATCATGACTTTCATCTTAGAAAAATCAACCATCAAAATGTGAGAATGAGGACGGTTTTCTTTGGGACTGAGACTGGGAGGCTGAGATAAATAGAGTGAGAGAGATTCACGGGATCTTAGTGACAGGAAGAGGCCTCTGTTCTTACTTTAAACAGAGTCAGTTTGGTTCTACAGGGTCTGTTGACTTGGGTTTACTTCTTATAAAGCACGTGCACTTCAGACTCTTTTTTTTTTCTTTTTTTCTTTTTGAAAATAGGCAATGGTTCAGGCTCTCTCTTTGTCCGGCAAAAATATATGGAAAGCCTTTATCTTATTAAGGCTGAGAGTTAGTTTGACAGTGCAGATTTACACTTTAAC